GATTGTGGTAGAGCACTACATTCTTGTATTCAACAAAACAAGGGATCACTTTCGTTACTAAGTTTGATCGTCGGAAACACGATTTATATATTTATTGATTACCTTGTTTAAATATATGATGATTATTAAATTTGATTATGTAAAATACTATAGATCCGTATTTATTAGTTTGGACTACATGACAAAAAAGTTTAGCTGAGCTGGACCTCACGCCTTAAAAAGTGCATGTTTAAACTTATAGAAAAATTAGGTACAAAATTTATAATTTTCAACGATTCTCACTAAAATCTAATTTGGCTTAAGAATCCCTATTGTAGTAACATTTGGAAGACTACTTACCCCAAAATAAAAAAAAACATTTGGAAGACTGATATTGATGTGGTTTTGGACTGAGCGAGATAAAAAAGAAGATATAAACCCTAAGGTTAGCACGTGAAAGGCCAACAAGGTGGGAATATGGTCACCATCTTTATAACACCAGCCCATAATAATTATGCACGACTAGGGTATTCATGGGCCAGGCCAGGATGGGCCCATAAAAATTTTTGGGCTGAGTTTGAGTAAGGTAGGACCAAGATTTTATTTGGGTGAGTTATCGGCCAAGCCAAGCTTTTAGTAGAGGTAGGCTACCCGCAATCCAACCCGTCACTCACTGGGAGGGCCTACTGGATGGGCTTCGCAGACAGACCTTTTTTATTTTTTTAGAGTTTTTTTGGAGGTCGAAACCTAGGCCCAATGTGATTCTAAAAAAAATCACTCCCCAATTTACTTTTGGATTTGTTCAATGTTGAAAAGTCAAAGTCATGGATATTACTAACGCCCTTTAAAGTTGAAAAAAATAATGACAATGTCATTACATAATTGAAACACCTATTCTAAAAAGTTACATCATCATAATGTATTTTCTTCGTTATAAATATAGATTGTCAGACAGGTACATTAAAAAAAATGATATGTTCTCGATTAACATACCCATTAACTGGTAGTTCACAGGTACATTAAGATACATTTACTAATAGTGGTTGAATTCAGTGTATCTTTGGAATAGATACATTGACCCCATGGACATACCTCTATAAATAGTGTATCAAAAAAGTAGAACAGAAACACAGAAAATAATCGATCAGTCAAGGGAGCAAAGAATACATAGTAACATACAAATGCTTGCATGTTTCTTCAACAAAGCACATGCCAAATAAGATCGCATTCACAAAGATATTGACTGTTTGGAATCCCAATTGAACATGTCCAACAAACAATGAGATGAGTGGAAGGAAATGGCGAAAAAATTCAATAGAAAGCTGCAAAAGGAGAGGAAAAGGCCAAAAAGCTTGAGGCAAAGTTGGAGGACTTCACAAACATTCATGATTACGCACAAAAAAAATACATTAATAAACACAACAGGTACGCAGTCAATATATACGTGTTTACATAGGTACATAGCATATCATATACGGATAATAACATACACGATCATTCAGGTACATTATACGAATATATACATCTACGAAATAGGTACATCAGTATGTAATGGAGAAAAAGATATATATAAGTTATTATAGGTATACAAGTATATAAAACCAAACACAATTCAAAATTACGTAAATCATAACAAACATGTACTTAAACCTATCAACGAATGCATAAAACTTAACTACTACATCTAATTTATGTACTTACCAAATCAACTCTTAAGATAAATGACTAGCATATTCCAAATTGTTTGATTCACGAATTTGAAATTCAAAACTGATAGATAACACTACAAAATCTTCAATGACAAATGCAAAAAAAAAGAAACTAACTATATTTTAGGTTAAAATCATGTGATGAGGATAAAATGGATAATGAAAACACACTAACTAACTCTTATACATTTGCGTCTACACAGGGACCGCATGCAATTGTTTTAAAAACATTGAGGACTTTTTTATATATTAAAAATCCCTTATGACTAAATTAGTTTACAAACTAAAGGAGGGACCCTAGTCTAATTAACTAGACACACGCACGCGCGCGCGCACACACACACACACATCTTTATTTAAAAAGTTTCTAACATAACATTTTTGTAAATTATATTTTTGAATTAAAAGTAGAGTCAAAATAGAGAAATTGTAAATAATAAATAATTTTATTTATAAATAAGAGAAAAACTATATCACAATAGAAAGTGTACATCCCAACTATCTTGACACCTATCCACCTATCTATTATTTGTACAACTATATCCTTTAAAACGTGTATGTTTTAAATAAACATAAAAACATACATGAAAAACATACAATGTATGCTTAGTACATGTATGTTTAAGTTTTAATGGTCAATTTGTTTTTGTAAATAAAGTGAGTGGACGGACGGGCTGGTTCTTAGGCAGTGTTTTAATGATTTTTTGTGGGTGGGTTAATGGGCTAGGTTTCGGGCCAGATAATTGGCTTGGAGTAGGCCCAAACTTTCTCTTAAAGGATATTGGACTCGGGTTTGAGCAGACCAATTATCAAGTCTATCGAATTTCAGATTGAATAACAGATCCCGTGGACTAATCCGATCCATGGACCCCTATGCACGACTAGTAAGTGACATTCGGGTGGCTTTCTNATAATTGGCTTGGAGTAGGCCCAAACTTTCTCTTAAAGGATATTGGACTCGGGTTTGAGCAGACCAATTATCAAGTCTATCGAATTTCGGATTGAATAACAGATCCCGTGGACTAATCCGATCCATGGACCCCTATGCACGACTAGTAAGTGACATTCGGGTGGCTTTCCAATAAGCCATGGTCAACCCGAACACGATCTATTTGACTAATTGTGTCAACCCAGTTGAACAAAGCTGATCAAATAGTTTTTGAAGCCTCAGACAAAAATTTTATATGGGGCCTTGAAACACGGTTTTGAAATTTAATTCATTTACTTCAAAAAAAATTATCTATAAATTCGTATTTTATCTATACTTAAACTGAAAAATTACTTGCAAAAAAATGCACCATATAGATACTTAATTAAAATTAAAATTATCTAAACTAGATAAATAAATCAGAGCCACTAAAACATACATAAAATGAGAGCGAGTAGAGCCTCGTAATTTTTATAAGNTATACTTAAACTGAAAAATTACTTGCAAAAAAATGCACCATATAGATACTTAATTAAGATTAAAATTATCTAAACTAGATAAATAAATCAGAGCCACTAAAACATACATAAAATGAGAGCGAGTAGAGCCTCGTAATTTTTAGAAAAGAACAAGGTTTGATTTACACTTTGAAGTTAGTAAAAATTCGTATATATATTTAATTTGTACTTTAGATTGAGAAAATAAGTAACAACGTGAGAAAAAAATAACGGGAAAAAAAAAAATTAAGTGATCGTCTGACATACATGTCTCGTAACCATAAAGAATGTAAGAAAATATTTCTTTATTGTGTGTAGCATTACAATGGCACAACTGACATCCTTTTATCAAACTTTGAATTTGACGGAGGGCGCATATAAATTGTGTATAGATTGATAATACAATTTTGTTTTCAATGCAAAGTAACATCTTCAATTGTTTTTAATTTTTATTTAACTCTATAATTTAATGAGATGTAAAAGAATGGGGTCCTAGACAAGTGGGAGCCCTAGGTGATTGCTTAACTGGCTGACAGGCTGGTTGGCCAAGCACTTGACCCGAATGGAACCTGTTTATTACATAAATATTAAAAAAAAAAAACACACACACATAATACACTTAATGGGGGCCATGTTTAGAGGTCACGGGTCAGCCCTTNGCCAAGCACTTGACCCGAATGGAACCTGTTTATTACATAAATATTAAAAAAAAAAAAACACACACATAATACACTTAATGGGGGCCATGTTTAGAGGTCACGGGTCAGCCCTTAAACCCGTGGAAACCCCACACATTAAATCAAATGGTTTCTTGGGCCAAACAACAATATCAAATCTAAAAATATGATCTGTTCCATATTCATGTCAAAATCTCTAATCTAAACCTGTTAAATAAAAATATATGCCGAATTCGTATTGTGTTAATGGGATTTATCAAAAACTACCACTCATAATTTCCTAAAATATACTACCGCAAATGCAACTTAGTTTAACATATGGGCGTGGAAGAACAAAGGGACATACTTCTCTCCTTCCAAAAAAGGCACATCTTCTTTCCTTGATAGACTTCATGATCTGATATCCTTCCTTATTTAAATTATTAAATATCACTCTTATCATCTAAACTTGAAGAAGTAATTTTCAAAGCTCCAATTTCCATTGTTGGGATGATAAACTAATGGACTTTGCATCTTCGACCACCTTCTTTCTTGGCTTTTGAATTCATATGATTTGCTGATGATTGACACCTGTCTAAGCTGGTCCCTGGAGGGATAAAAGTAAACTATTTTAGCCCAATCTCTTCGTTTTGTGGTCTCCTTAATCAAGGAAACCCGTAAAACCTCATTGGTTGCACTCATTGTGTTCACGTGGGTTTCAGCCAATTGCAAGGCGTTGTCTACTATGATATTGAATTAATTAAGGAGTCTAACGTTATACCACAAAGGTCAATATATATATATATATATGGTATAGGTTTTGTGCAGGCAAGAACTCACATGCCTGTCTGGATTCGTGTAGGGATTGTTTGTCATTGGTTGAGTTTGATGAAATCGTGCCTAGAACTTTCTCGATTGGCGAACGATGGCTAAGATTTTTCAGGAATCTTTAAGGGGTTGTCGGATATTTTAACACACGTTTACTTAATTTTTTTTTTTGATAAGAGATAACCTCTCATGAATTCAAGTGAGATCCATTATATTTTCGACTCTATAAGTAAGTCCTCGACAATAAAAGATGAAGGATAACCACTTATGAAATTCGAGAGAAAAATGTGTTATAAAAGAACTGGGTTTGATATCCGAATATTCGTAAAATTTCTCCGCCTTACAACCAGACGTGGTCCAAGAAAGTGGTCCTAAAAGTGCCGAGAAGGCTTTACAACTAACTATGGGTCCTAGAAGCAAGTGAGTTTTAAAGGCTTTTTACAACTAACTGGAATTAGTTGAATTGGTCACCTTTAATTCTCTCTAGATTCTATCAACAAAAAGGTCAAAAAAACAATTCCTAGTAAAGGTAAGACTAGGTTTCTTATGTGTATGTCCCTTTCTTTGGCAATTCTATTGCTCTCTTTGAGCTTCTATTCAATCCTCCTCGGGTATTTCTGCTGTAAATGCATTATTCCTAAGTCATAGTAATTGACTTTTTACTGTAATAGTGATCCACCACTGCGTACTTAAAAAAGGCTTTATTACCTACTAGGATTAAAAGCCAGTAGTGACTTGCATTGTAAACCCTGAAGTTGAAAAGAACAAAACATTTCAGAATGGACTCGAAATTTGATGAATTGTGTAGAATGAAGTTTCTATTGATAAGTGACTTATATATTTTGAGTGCAATTTGAGGGTGTAAGAGTTTGCTCTTTGTAGTCAGTATTTTCCGGAATAGAACTTTTTATAGGTTTTTTTGTACAGAGCCTTTGTAAATTACTTGAACTATAGTTACAAACACTGTAGAGCTGCTGATGAATCCCATCCTCACCTCTTTTTTGATTGCTCCTTCTCTGCAAGGATTTGGAACTCTGTCTTAGCTATATCAGGAATCAATCTGCAATCTAGACCCTGGAATGAGCTAATTGAATGGATTGCAACCAACTGGAAAGGAAAATCAATGCCCATGGTTCTTCTCAGACTTAGTCTTGCAGCTACTCTTTATCAGTTGTGGATAGAGAAAAATAATAGAAGATTCAGAAGCCTTCAAGGTATACCAATTCTGTGTCTAAGGCTGTTCAACTGGCCATTAGGAGCAAAATGGCTTCCCTCAAATTCAGATTATGTGAAACACCTCTGCATCCTCCTTTTGATGTCCCACTGAGCAGGATTCATCTGGAAGTGTTATTTAAGAGTTTCACTTCCCTATGAATTCTTCTTGGATTTACTCTCTTTTTGTTTCTGCTGAATGTCTTTCCTTGATTGTACATTGTTTTGTTGTACATCCTTTTCTTTGGTTCAACATAATTTTACTTTTGGAAAAAAAAAATTGTTGATTTAACTTTACAATGCCAAAGATTAGATGTCCACACTGATGCTTTTTTTACGTAGCTTTTGATCTCTGAACGCTATTTATATGAGTGACTAATTAGTGAGTGTCTGAGAGATAACCAATAGTAATTTTGTACCCCCAGTGGCATTTTTTTGTGTGTGTGTGAAACACAAGCTCCAAACTCTGATGACAAATACCCTGGAAAACTGCTTGCAGTAGGGGCCCCACCCCCCTGGGGGGGGGGGGGGGCAGAGAGAGAGAGAGCCTCAAAGTTCTTCACTTAAATTGAAAACTTTGAAAGAAATTAAATACTGTGTTATTGCCCAAAAGTAAGGTTAAAGGTAACGAACTGGGAAAAGTACTTCCCAGTTCTTCCTAGTTTGTAGAAGCAGCGATATACTTACGTGCAAAAGACTAATATATATGATCGACAGTGCCACCAAATACTAAAATAATATAAACTATAAATGGATAATACCATGATTTTGATATTGCTATTTGTGAAGGGATTTTGATAATAACATAGATAAAAGAATGTTTTTGATATTGCTCCAGTCCAGCTCCCACTACCTAAAAGGATAATTTAGTTAAAGAATCTCCCATTATCGCAGAGTTTGGACAAGGGTTAGATGCACATCGCCTCATCTCGTGGCTCAAACTCAATTACAACCATCCCTGAAATATCAACCTTATACCATAGTACTAATATGTAAAAGGACTGACTTACCCTTGAGTTCTTTGCTGTTGACTGTTAAAGTCACCACTATTCTCATCTGTTTTAGATTACAAACTGGTACTGTTTAGAATATTTATTCCGTTAAAAAAGCTCTTGAAGTGTGATATAAAAAAATGGTTCACAAAAAGTTCCTCACACCATCAGGATCATAGTCTCGAATTCGAAGCTCCCAACAGTAAGCTTTTCTTCATATCTGTTTAGCTTAAGCCATCTTTTGGTTAATTTACTGAGATCTAAAAGTGCTGTTTATTGTTCACTCTTTTCTTTCTCTTCTTGGTTTTCAGAAACCCTAGAATCAAACCAGTAAGGATGGGAAGAAGAAAGATAGTGATCCAAAGGATCGACAACGTTACAAGCAGGCAGATCACTTTCTCAAAGCGAAGGAATGGACTGTTGAAGAAGGCGAGGGAGCTCGCTATTCTGTGTGATGCAGAAGTTGGAATGATCATCTTTTCAAGCACCGGCAGGCTCAACGAATTCGCAAGCACATGGTTAGACAGCACTTCATAGCATATTTCTTTGTGTTTGAGTTATTTTATTTCTGTATTCAGCTTTTTCCATCAAAACCCTATGAATAGTAGACGTTGCAAGCACCACGTGTTCCTCTTCTATGCATACCTCTGCTTAATAATCCTACTCCAGCAATCTGCTGTGCGTTTCCCATATTTTCTTTCATGGATAGAGAATATACACACACATACATATGTGATAATGATTGGTTTAAGTCTGGACCCCTTTAGAGCCCAAGACTCTTTGGACTTGTAGAAAGCGGTCCAAGCAGCTCGCCTAAACAAACTATCCCGAGCATGAATTGGGCCGTAGGTCAGTTACGGGGATGCTTGAAGTAACAAGCCCGGTACAATAACAATCTTGGAACTTAGGAGCTTGGCACTAGGCTAGTCTGTAAAAATTGCAGCGTGACACGTGGAAAAGAGATAAGAGAACATTAGTTGATGACTCTAAAGAACAAAAACCCGTAAATAGTGGAGACGGATTAACTACTACAATTAGCGAGTAACTGGTGCAGAAAGGCTTCTAGGACAAAAATAAACATAGAATGGACAACAAAATTAGCCAAAAGGGATAAACATAAAACCCTAACTACCAGTTGTGCGAGAGTCATTCCGTAAGCCACCAACAAAAACTTAGGCAATGTCTTGTAAAGGCTTTAAACAAAACACCCTTTAATAGCAATCTTTGTCCCCAAGCAATGCAATCCCTAAGGATCAAGAGTCTTCCTTACAATGGATGTAACCTTAGTCCTTCGGCTAAGGTGAACCATTCATATTCTATCTTCCTCTTGCGTAATACATGTAGCATACACACTCACATTCTCCCATGTACATACACACTCATTGGACTTCACCCAAGTCTGNTTAGTCCTTCGGCTAAGGTGAACCATTCATATTCTATCTTCCTCTTGCGTAATACATATAGCATACACACTCACATTCTCCCATGTACATACACACTCATTGGACTTCACCCAAGTCTATTTTGCAACCCGGTCCAATTAATTTCAAGCACCATCAGCTTGGTGCCATCTGTGGGAACGATTTTAATCGTTTCTTCTTAAGTTTCCTTCATACATTTTTAATAGTTTGATAGTTTCTACTTGACATATGAGTAAAAATCATGCAAACCAATAGATGCTACAGAGCCAGCAAGGTATTGTCCATGAGAACCAACTAGGAAATCTCTCGATCCCGGCGATAAACGTTGAAAATGACCCTCTAGTGATGGACCCAACTCCTATCGATGACTTGGAAACATACCTTTGAACCACTATGCAATTGGTAAAGCAAAACCAACACCTCGTAGCGTGGATCCAGGCATACCATCTCCATCAAACCCTACTTACACCTCCAGCACCACCTCCACAGCTAGCTCAAAATGATCATCCTCTTTAGGATCGTCAAAACCTACCACCTCCCAACAAAGTAACAAATGCCCTTGACTATAGTCACTCTAGAGAAAACCACCGCCGACGACAGATAAAAGAGAGAACAGATGATGAGGCTCACAGCCGTGCCAGAGTCGTTCCAAGAGAAGATCACATTCCTTATCCCCAATGTAACACCATGGACCAGTTCTAGGAGTGATTGTTTCAAGAAATCCAGTAGGAGCTGAGAAACGACAAGGAAATAGTGAAAGGACAATCCCCCATGACCATGGACGCCCTAGTCCAGCAAACTAAATCCTTATTCACTATGAAAATCGTACATTTCTCCTTGCCCTAGAAGTTCAAAATGTCGTAGATAGAGACATTTGATGGAACTAAAGACCCCATAGAGCACCTCAACTCATACAAGAACCAAATGGAGCTTCATGGATATCAAGATCCCGTCTGCTACCAAGCTTTCGCCATCACCATCAAACGGTTGATGATAACTTGATTATATAGGCTACTGCCAACATCATCTCCTTCTTCTGAGAACTCTCCATACAGTTCGTATCTCACGTTATAGAGGCACAAACTTATCGAAAACCAACTTACCATCTCTTAAGTGTCAAGCAAGGACCAATGAATCTTTTAGAAGCTATATACAAAGGTTCAACCAAGACTCTCTAAAAGTTGAAAATATAGATGACAAGTTTGCCCTGACCACCTTTATGTTGGGACTTAGCCTCCAATTCAAAGATTTACTATTCTCCATTCCTAAGAATCCCCNCAATAGATGCTACAGAGCCAGCAAGGTATTGTCCATGAGAACCAACTAGGAAATCTCCCGATCCCGACGGTAAACGTTGAAAATGACCCTCTAGTGATGGACCCAACTCCTATCANATACATTTTTAATAGTTTGATAGTTTCTACTTGACATATGAGTAAAAATCATGCAAACCAATAGATGCTACAGAGCCAGCAAGGTATTGTCCATGAGAACCAACTAGGAAATCTCTCGATCCCGGCGATAAACGTTGAAAATGACCCTCTAGTGATGGACCCAACTCCTATCGATGACTTGGAAACATACCTTTGAACCACTATGCAATTGGTAAAGCAAAACCAACACCTCGTAGCGTGGATCCAGGCATACCATCTCCATCAAACCCTACTTACACCTCCAGCACCACCTCCACAGCTAGCTCAAAATGATCATCCTCTTTAGGATCGTCAAAACCTACCACCTCCCAACAAAGTAACAAATGCCCTTGACTATAGTCACTCTAGAGAAAACCACCGCCGACGACAGATAAAAGAGAGAACAGATGATGAGGCTCACAGCCGTGCCAGAGTCGTTCCAAGAGAAGATCACATTCCTTATCCCCAATGTAACACCATGGACCAGTTCTAGGAGTGATTGTTTCAAGAAATCCAGTAGGAGCTGAGAAACGACAAGGAAATAGTGAAAGGACAATCCCCCATGACCATGGACGCCCTAGTCCAGCAAACTAAATCCTTATTCACTATGAAAATCGTACATTTCTCCTTGCCCTAGAAGTTCAAAATGTCGTAGATAGAGACATTTGATGGAACTAAAGACCCCATAGAGCACCTCAACTCATACAAGAACCAAATGGAGCTTCATGGATATCAAGATCCCGTCTGCTACCAAGCTTTCGCCATCACCATCAAACGGTTGATGATAACTTGATTATATAGGCTACTGCCAACATCATCTCCTTCTTCTGAGAACTCTCCATACAGTTCGTATCTCACGTTATAGAGGCACAAACTTATCGAAAACCAACTTACCATCTCTTAAGTGTCAAGCAAGGACCAATGAATCTTTTAGAAGCTATATACAAAGGTTCAACCAAGACTCTCTAAAAGTTGAAAATATAGATGACAAGTTTGCCCTGACCACCTTTATGTTAGGACTTAGCCTCCAATTCAAAGATTTACTATTCTCCACTCCTAAGAATCCCTNATACCATCTCCATCAAACCCTACTTACACCTCCAGCACCACCTCCACAGCTAGCTCAAAATGATCATCCTCTTTAGGATCGTCAAAACCTACCACCTCCCAACAGAGTAACAAATGCCCTTGACTATAGTCACTCTGGAGAAAACCACCGCCGACGACAGATAAAAGAGAGAACAGATGATGAGGCTCGNCTTACACCTCCAGCACCACCTCCACAGCTAGCTCAAAATGATCATCCTCTTTAGGATCGTCAAAACCTACCACCTCCCAACAAAGTAACAAATGCCCTTGACTATAGTCACTCTAGAGAAAACCACCGCCGACGACAGATAAAAGAGAGAACAGATGATGAGGCTCANCAACTTATTCTCAGTCTATGGGACACCCTTGCCAAAATCACCACCGTGTTCTTGTTCCTCGTGGTGGATGCGCTTTCTGCATGCAACGTTTTACTCGATAGACCCTCTCTCAACTATATCAAAGCCGTCCCTTCGGCTTATCACCTGTTCGTGAAGTTCCTAATGGAAAACGTTNTTCTCATCAACAACGACAGCTCGGCCGACATCATTTTTCTCTGCCTTCGAATAACTTGGTATAAATGAATCCAAGCTCGAATTCATGAAGACCCATCTGTTAGGTTTCTCAGAGGAGAGAGTCATGCCTTTGGGATCAATCCAACTTATTCTCAGTCTATGGGACACCCTTGCCAAAATCACCACCGTGTTCTTGTTCTGCATGCAACGTTTTACTCGATAGACCCTCTCTCAACTATATCAAAGCCGTCCCTTCGGCTTATCACCTGTTCATGAAGTTCCTAATGGAAAACGTCNCACAGCCGTGCCAGAGTCGTTCCAAGAGAAGATCACATTCCTTATCCCCAATGTAACACCATGGACCAGTTCTAGGAGTGATTGTTTCAAGAAATCCAGTAGGAGCTGAGAAACGACAAGGAAATAGTGAAAGGACAATCCCCCATGACCATGGACGCCCTAGTCCAGCAAACTAAATCCTTATTCACTATGAAAATCGTACATTTCTCCTTGCCCTAGAAGTTCAAAATGTCGTAGATAGAGACATTTGATGGAACTAAAGACCCCATAGAGCACCTCAACTCATACAAGAACCAAATGGAGCTTCATGGATATCAAGATCCCGTCTGCTACCAAGCTTTCGCCATCACCATCAAACGGTTGATGATAACTTGATTATATAGGCTACTGCCAACATCATCTCCTTCTTCTGAGAACTCTCCATACAGTTCGTATCTCACGTTATAGAGGCACAAACTTATCGAAAACCAACTTACCATCTCTTAAGTGTCAAGCAAGGACCAATGAATCTTTTAGAAGCTATATACAAAGGTTCAACCAAGACTCTCTAAAAGTTGAAAATATAGATGACAAGTTTGCCCTGACCACCTTTATGTTGGGACTTAGCCTCCAATTCAAAGATTTACTATTCTCCATTCCTAAGAATCCCCAGGAAACAATGGCTGAGGTCCTCACCAAATTAGAGAAATACATAAATAGAGAAGAGGTGCCCCTCATGAAGAGGAATGTTTCGACCTCTAGTGAGGGTAAGAAGAAAAAAAGAGATCGTAGCATGGGGAAAGAATGAAGGTGAGATCGATCCCCAA